TTTCCTGTGAAACCAATGTTTTGGGTTCCTTGTGTGTCATTTTTATTGGTTTTTCCAATGTTCTGGGCTCCTTGTGTGTCACTTTTATTGGTTTTTCCAATGTTTTAGGCTCCTTGTGTGTCATTTTTATTGGTTTTTCCAATGTTTTCGGCTTTGTGTGTCTATTTTTATTGGTTTTTCCAATGTTTGGGGCTCCTCGTGTGTCAGTTTTATTGTTTTTTTCCCATATTTTCGGCTTTGTTTGTCTCGTTTTATTGGCTTTTCCAATGCTTTAGGTTTCCTGTGTGTGTCAATTTTATTCAGGGAAATGGTAGGTACATGGGGGGGGCTACCATATATATAAAGATATATGTATATATGCACCCAGCAACGTCTACACATACACCTATACATATACTATGAACACCACATGCATGCACACAACGAACCTATACATGCATGCATGAATGCATGCATGTTGTACGTTTGTACATACAACTACATGCCTGCATGCCTACCTGGCTACAGAAAGATGGACGGACAGACAGACAGTCATGGCTCGCAGCAGTTGGCGACGTACTGCATCGACGTGCCTTGAATGAGTGAGTAGCTCACGTAAAGGTTTTGTAGCGCCTTCGGCCCACCTGTGCAGGGTATCAAGACTGTGACGAGCTTAACCCCTCAAAGACTGGAGAGCTCGGAGCCTATGCCCTCGCAAAGCTCCTGGAGTCGAGTCCAGAACTCCAGCAGGTCTGTCGCTTGCTGGAAGTCCATAAAGATATAGCCAACGGCTCGTCCACGCGGTTTGTCGACCGGCAAGTAAAAGAACCTGTGGAGGACTTTCAAATCTCGACCTCGACCTCGAAGCCAAGGCTATTTCCTTTTTACCTTCGGCCACTTGAAGCTCGAGCCTCAGCTTCGTTATCAGCTGGCAGCCCTTCATGGTGTGCAGGAAACGCTCCGAACTACAAGTCTTGGGCAGTCCGCCCAATATAATGGAAGTCCTGCGTTTGTGCAGTGTCGGAATCGCCTTCCGTCGAACTATGCAGCGCTTCAACCCAAAGTCCTCAAGTCCAGGCCCTGAGCTACTCTTTCCGGGCTGAACTGATGAGCACTCTCCAGCACCTCCTGCAACATCTCTTGCAAGCACTGAGAATACTCCTCTCAAGAACAGTGATTGAATGGCTCCTTGGCTGGACTCCGGAAAGGAGTTGGCAGGCGGCCCGGTGTCGGCGCCAGCAGGGTTGCATAGTCTGGTACCGGTACCTCTCCTTCCGAGGGGTAAGGGTTCTGGAGGGTTTTCCATGCGAACGCCACAACTCCCGGCCTGCTGAAGGAGTGGATGCCTTGATGCAAGAGCTGGAGGCGACGACGTGTACTACAAACTCAACATGGCAATCTGACCAGTGTGCGAACCCGGAAAGCGATCAATCGGAGTCTTCCAGTGAAAAATCAAGTTGAGACATACCCTCAGGTCGAGCCGCGGCCAAGTTCGTTCTCAAAACACCTGCGAAGATGGGAAAGTGGATCTGGGTTGCACAAGGTTCTTGCTGGCATGTGTTGGCAGCAAAGACTGGCCTTAGCTTCACCCTGAACCCTGAACGTGTCGAGAGGAAGGGCCTATGTCTTCGACAGATGGGCTTGTGGACGATTGCCTTGTCACGCAGGAACGATTTTCTTGACACATCCTCCATCTGCTACTTTGGAAATGGGTTCTGTGAGGACACCTGCCAGGTTCATCCGGCCACCTGAAAAAAGGCTCGAAAAAGTTTCGAAGCCGAGACAGCTGGTGCTCAATTGGAGAGCTGCTGATGGCGGACAACTTACCTTTGCCATAAAAACTCGGGTGTTTATTCGAACTCTGTGCGACTTAGCAGCTCGTTGGTGCTTGATTTGGCAGATTCAAGGATCTCGTTGGTCCGCTCCACCGCGGGTGGCGCGAATTCGTTGGTGAAGTCCAGAACTCTCTCCTCCAAAGAGCAAGCTGCGCAAGCTTTTAAGTGCACTCGTTGGGGGATCCCGGAGCTTGCCGTTGAGAGCACTTAACAGAGAGTCACGGGAAGATGGAGGGAGCCGAGGAGCAACCTGCCTTTCACACCCTCCCGAAAGTCTTTCAGCCCTGTGGAGCTCCGGTGTCAAAGCCATAAGGAGTTGCTGTGCTGCTTTGGGCTCCGAGAAGGTCACGATGACTTCACCCTTGCTTTTGCAGCTTTGCCTGTGATACAAACACGGAAAACTCGAAGGATTCGACTCGACAATGATTCTACTTCTTTTTGCAAAAAGAGGCGCATGTCTAAGCCAACCACTTCTCCGAACCGCTGGAACGCTCTTGCAGCTGCATCGGCAGACAGGTTCTCCGCCACAGACATCGGGAAGAACGCCTGTCAGGGAGCTGAGAGGAATGCGTCACTCAGCACCGGGGCGTTCTCTCGATCTCAATCACTCTCACTCTGGGTGACCGGACCCGCACAGTCGCAAGCGTCAGCACGTCCACGACTGTGGCTGAGTTTGGCTGGGTCGAACGTGATTCAAACGGGAGCGCGGCATGTGGTTGTTGATCTGAGCGCTTCGGAGCGGACTGCTCGGGCCGAAAGCTGGAGGATTGCGACAGGCCCGAGACCTGAAGCTGGTGGGCCATCTGCTCCAGGCGTTGGACCTGTATCTGCTGCTGCACGACCTCAGGGACTTGGGCAACTTCACGCAGAGTTGAAGTGGCTTAGACGTGATGCGGCACCTGCTGCACGTGCTGCGGCTGCAAGTCTTGCATGTTGAGGAGATTCTGCATGTGCTGGTGCAGTGCCTGATCAGACAATGCAACGGACAGTTGATCCAATTGTCTGCGGGACTGTAGAAGTGTGCTGCATGCTGGGGTGCTAGGGCTGCTAGGGTGAAGCAACCCTTGGATGCCTGACTGCGCTGGCAAGGACCCTGCATTTGGGGCATTGGCATCTGGCCCAGCCCCGGAAAGCTTCGCCCTGACAGCGGCCCGGACAAGGTCCCTGGCTGCACTTGGTGGGGGGCCCCTAACAGCCAGAAATCTGCCATGGCCCGAGATGCTGGTAGATAAGTCTAAGTCGGTCGTGGCGTGGAAGTGAGAAAGCGACCATAGGTGCTAGAAAGGCCTTCAGTCTGTCGGGACAGCAGGACTTAATTCCTTAGAGACTATAGTAATTGTCCCGTTCGCCGGAACTTGACCAAAACTTTGGGCCGAAGTGCCTTCGATCGTACGGCACCCGCTGCGACAAATCAGATTAGGCCACACCAACTCAAAGGCCTGCTACTTGTTGTGCAGGTCACTTCCCGTTGCACACAGCCCAGCATGGCAGACGCAAGTGACTCCAATTGCACGCGGCATTTCCTACAGCAGTGCCTCTGGAATCGGTTTCTGCACCGGTGGGAATTTGGGGTCTGGCAGCATGTGCAGTGCAAAGACAAACCATTTACTACCGACCATTGCCTACAGTATCTATAACAAGTAAACAGGAAAAGCACCAAAGACATACAGCGGCAACCCGATGGCTTTAAGCCCCCAGAGACAACACACACACACACACGCACACGCACACGCACCACACACACAGACTCGTTCACTGTGGCTGACACTGCACCATATGGTGACGCGTCGCGTCGCCGTGCCAGTGCAGGTACGATATATATATATATATGTATGTGTATACGTATGTATGTATGTATGTATGTATGTCTGTATGTCTGTGTGTGTGTGTGTATGTATGTATGTATGTATGTATGTATGTATGTCTGTGTGTGTGTATGTATGTATGTATGTATGTATGTATGTATGTATGTACGTACGTATGTATGTG